TTTACATCCATTTGATGAACTTCTAATTTTTGTAATGCAGAGATGGAAAGTATCATCCTCATGGAGTTTATTCTCTTCACAAGATATTACGTGTCAAAGTAATCACGACTTTCACGTTGCTTGTATCCCATAATTACAAGTTTGGCCTTATACTTGTCAATGAGATCGTGAGCTTCATTTTAATTTCCTTTTAAAGATCCACTTGGAGCCCAGAGGTTTACAACCCAGGAGAAGATCAACTAGTTTCTATTTTGTAGCATAGAATCCACTTCACTTTTGATGGATTTTTTCCACATTGGAGTTTCAGTAGAAGTCAAGGCTTCCGTATAAGTCTTATGCTCATTTTCTACCAAACAAGTTAGAAAATATGGTTCATTTTATATCATACATGTTAAAATGTCCAAATCAAGTTCGGTTGAGTAGGTCAAAAAATTCTGACAAATGAATTTTTCAACTGTAGCACGTTTGCTACGTTTGGGCTCAAGTTCATCTCTGGATCTCTCACTTGTATTATCCATAGTCACGTCAAACGTTCGTTTTGACGTACTTGGTCCTTCATTGGACTTACAAGGAAATACATATCCTAAGAATGATGCATTTCTTGATTCAATTTTCGTGTTCTTATGTACATCTGGATTATTGGACACGTACACTAAAAACCGTTAAGCACTACTATTATGTACATAACCAATAAAAATACAAACCACTGTCTTTGTGTTTGTTTTTATTTTCTTGGGTGTTGGTACAAGCATTTTTGCAAGACACCCTAACACTTTTAAATATTGATATGATGACTTTCTACCTTTGTAAATCTCGTAAGTAATTTTATCGTGTTTTTTCATTGGTGCCTTATTTAAAAGGCAATTACTTGACAAGACTTCTTCGCCCCATATATTTTATGACATGCTCGAATTTACTAGCATCACATTTATCATGTCTTTCAATGTGCGATTCTATATATGTATCCCTAGAAATTTGTAGCTCCGATGGAACCGTGGAATATGTATTAGATTAGGAAGCTTTGCCAAAAAAAAAAAAAACTTAGTTCTATATATATACCTTTGACGGCCAAGCTACGAGGAAAACTCTCTGGCATCACCGTTTATCCATTTACAGGTATTATAGTTGTCTAGTTTACCAATAGAGCCCCACAAGTGCAATGGCACCCGCCAGGGAGATGAGATATCTAGTGTAAACGTCTTTCCGTGAATTATTACTCATAAAAGGACCACCATACGTCGATAACATCAAATGATCGAGCAGAAGAATGTAAACTTTTTAGAGTTACCTTAGAGATACAAAAAAATTTATAAAAAGTCTTACAAAAGGGTATGTGACATCATCACATTATTTAACACATCACATTACATTTACAACACTTTTACATTAATGGTAATTAGAATAGCCATATCACTTATTTGTAAGATTTTTTGTAAGTGTGTTTGTATTTCTAGAATTTTTCAACTTTTTATGTGCTCACACTTCGCATACAAAGCAGTTGTAAAGGTGGAAAGTATGTAATTTTTTTATGCTCTCACATTTCGCATACAAAGCCCTTATTTTACATTATGTCAAACGCCCTATGAATGTAAGCGAAGTTCAAAATTCAAATATAGGATAATTGAAGTTTGCCAATAATATTTTTTGTTTGTTATGTTGTTTTGTATATATGAAAACGGTATACATTGAATAAGAGTTTCATTCCGATCGCCTACTTTATGGAGCAAAACCTAAAAAATATCCCACCACCTAATAAAAATTAGCTGAATTTTCACAATTATTCATCTCAAATTATTTTCATTTAAAGTAATAAATAACTGATTAAATTAAGTTACTCTCAATGATAGTTTCTTTTTACTATGGGTTATTAGCCCTAAGTAGTACTAGAGTTAACCCAAAATGCAACAATAGGATTACAACCTTTATTTTTAAAATAGGAGTAATATATGTCCCTTCGAATTCTTCCCATTATACCCCTTTCTATAGTTTCTAATAATTTTATTTTAGGTTTAAATATGCTTTCAGTCCCTGTAAATATAGTACATTTTGTTTTACATCCCTGGATTTTTTTTCGTCCATGTAATTTATGTTAGTTTTGTTTTTAGTCCATCACCAATGATAACAACCTCCGCTTGACCTTGAAATAACCCCGACTAATAGATTTTCTCTGATTATATGTCATGTTATAAAAAAATTATTTAATTTATTTTTTTGATGGCTTTTAATATATATTTTTAAAATGTGAATGCTTAGTTTTACATTATTTAACACTCATATTAGCCTCAAAAAAATTATAAAAGGACAAATTTGTATATAGTAAATTTATGCAACTCACAATAATTTATTTTCTAAGTAGAGTGATTTTGGAATTAGAGAAGGACTAGAACCAAAATAGTGCATATTACAAGGATGAAAAACAAAAACAAAAATTTGCAAGGACCTAAAATAAAGTGTGTCATATTTGCAAGGACTAAAAATGTAATTAAGTCTTTATTTTATTAATAAGAAAATCATAGTTTTATTTATAATAAAAATATAAAAAACAGTAAAAAGTATTTGAAATTAATATTAAATATGGGGAAAACAAAATAAATTAAATAATTATAAATATTAAAAAACTTAAAAAATGTCTATAAAATAAAAAAAATTACCTAAAAATATTTAAAAATATGTAGGTCACTACCATCACGTCCTCCACCCCCAGCACCACTTACTCCGATCTTGGAAAAAAATGTCTATCTTGTGTAAAAAAACGTCACATTCCCCTGAAAGCGTCATGAAGATGGCACTTTTATTCTTCGGAAATATCGAGCTTTTTTTCAAAATTGTCATCACGATAACATTTTATTAACTTGGCACTCTTTTCCGGGGACCGGAGGTGGCGGTGCTGCAAGGTAACTAAGGGGTTGAAGCTGTATATTTTTCATTTATGTTTTTACGTTTTTTAATTTGTTAACTTTTTATGTTTTATTATTATTTTAAAATCCTATTAAAAATGACAAGTGAAAGAGTAGAGTAGGAAGAGTTAGTCATATTTTGATAATTTTAACTTTAAGCTCCTATTAGTGCAATTTTGCTTTTATTTAGTTCTATGGTAGGGAAATCTTAATTTTATTATCTAACGTACAAGTCAACTTTAGTCATTTTTTAGACGGAGAGATTTATACAAGGGTTTAGTCTCTCAATATTACTAAATTAAGGTTGATTTCTAAAAATGTGATCACTTTTACATTTGGACAAAAATGTGATTAAAATAAAGTGACATTCAAATATTCATGTCATTGTCCAATTTTAATGTCACTGCTGTCGTCGGCCACAGTGACACCTCTGTAGTGACAACACCACAGTGACATTTTTGTAGTAATATCTCTGCCCAACCTCTGGCCATAGTGACATCTCCATCTTCCGTCCACCACCGTTGACGGCCACAGTAACACAAAATTACTCTGTCAACCGCCCTCTGGTCAGTAACCACCACCTCCCAATCCCTGCACCACCACCACTACCCACCCCCACACCACCTTCAATATCCCCCATCCCTCAACCCCGCACCACTGCAACTGTCCCACCCCACATGCACCACCGTCAGTTTCCGACAGTCGCTGCAATACCTCAACCCCCTCCCCGACCTTCCCAGCTCCCCTCCGACCTTCCCACCCACCCCCCTTCCTGAACACTTCCAACTCCCTGCATCGTGACCCAACCCTAGCCACCGCCCAACACTGTCCCCACTACCCAGACCAAACCCTAGGCACCTTTGTCCAATACTTCCGCCATCTAAACCCAAACCTTATCCTCTGTTCGTCTAATAGCTACCACCGTCCACCGCTAAACTCTAACTACCACCGTCACCGAAACGTAGTAGCCATACCATTCATAGAGAGATCCGTTCATAGGCGAAAGAAGATCGATGTCGGCCAGATGCTCCACATTGAGCAATGACAGTTCAGATTTGATCTCCGAGAATGGTGGTCTGCGGGAAAGAAAGGAGAAGAAGAAAAAGTGAGTCAACAGAGGAGGCGAGCGGCTCAGGCCGGTGGGCCGACGTTGGCGTGAGTGCACATGCGTGAGAGACCGTTGTCCGCTTGAGAAGGATAGCAACAACTGATGTTTGCGTGAGACAGTGAGAAGGTTTGCTGGTGTAGGCGACGAGCTTTGCTATCTTCGACGGAGCTGGTGCATGTGTAGATCTGGGAGAGGGAAGAAGATATGTGATTCGTAGATCTGGGCGACTTGGTCTCATCCTCATGCGAAAGACGGAGGGAGCGAGTCAGTTTTTTTTGTGAAAACATAAAGTGGTTATATATCTAGAAGGTGCTTGCTATGGTACCCAACAAAAATAGGAGGGTACCATACCTATGATACATTTCATTGGTGCAACTCAAAGTTTTACATTTTATTTGCATTTAAATTATTCAATTGAAATTTTTTTATTGGTCCATGCCATCAAGGTACCATACCTTCAAGGTACCATAGAAATGGCCTATTTAGAATTAGAAACATATGAAGTAATATTAGTGCCATGGTTTCTTAATACAATTCAAATATGAAATAAATAAATAAATACTCCGTATGATTTGATGAATTTGAGTCCTACAATTTCTTTGGATACTACAGAACGAAATGTACGTAATACTTCCTCCGTTCCCTTTTGATCGTAGCGCTCTACTTTTTAGATATGACAATGCACAAGTTTGACGTTTAATCATTCATTCTTTAATCTTTATTAATAAAAAAATTGATTTGTAAAATTTGAAATAAGAAAAATTTAACAATAATACATTAATAAATAAATAATCAAAGTAGATTATGTAAATCTACTTTGATTATTTATTTATTAATGTATTATTGTTAAATTTTTCGATTTTCGAAGGTGGTACTATGTTAAAAAATTCACCAATTTTTCGATTTTCGAAGAGTACTCTGGAAAAATAATTGAAGGGTCGGTGACGTCGTCTTCTTCTGTCCAATGTCTATATAATAAGGATCAAAGCACTGGTCCGGCCAGTTATAACCAAAAGCATTGTTAACGCCACATATCTATCTAAACCGGCCTTTTTATTACTGCCCGGCCGCACCACAAATAAACGCTAACTCTCTTCCCTTAGCTGTCATCGTCTCTTACCGGCTATGGGAGGCGCTAATGGTGAATCCGGCGGCGGGCATATTCCGGCGGCTTTTGATCCTCCCAAGCGGACGACTAACAAATACGCCATAGCTGCTGCTTTTTTGGCCTCTTTAGCATCAATCTTACTTGGTTACGGTCAGTCTTCAATTCCCGTTCAATATTAATATAACTACTCCCATGACCCATCATATAAATTTCACCAATCATACTTCCTCTTGGATAATGACAATCAACTTTGATTAATTATATTTTTAATATGAAATTTATAAATTATATTCAAATGTAGTAATTAATATCATTGTTTGAGTTTGTCATCATTAATCAAGAAAAGTTCAATATGACGAACCTTCTCAAGATCGAGGTAATAAATGGTTTCAATAAAAAAATTGTTCTACACTTTGTTTAATTTGATTTACGGATAAGGAACAAATATAACCTTGTAGTAGTATGAGTATGAGAACAAATATACCCTTATTCTATTTTTCGAAACAAATATCTCACCGAAGTATATGTGGAAGTGCATATATATATACTCCTGAAGTTTTAAAAGTCCAAAAATATCCTTCATGTTCTTATCAAAGAACAAATTTACCCTTATTGACTTTAAGTTCATAAAATAAAATTCAAAAAACACCAAAAATAATTTTAAATTCGAAATTAAAAATAATTTTTTTAAAAACGTAGATGTGTTCAATTCTCCCTTTTATTGAATGTTTTTTATATCACAATTTATTATTGTTAGTATAAAATATCGTTTCAAAACTTTACTATATCTTTTAGAATCTTTCAAAAAAGTGTTAATATATGTGTTGCAATGTATTAATTTTTTGCATTCTTTGCACTATAAAATTATATATTTTGTATGGTGATAAATAGTGTAAAATTACAAAATAGCGAATCTAATTTTATTAAAGGGTATACAAAGTCATAGAATGTTATTTCAAAAAATGTAGAAATGTGTTCAAAATTTCACAACTAGACTAAAATTAATATCTGTGAATTTAAAGTGCTTCATTTACAAAAGAAAAAAAATGCAATTTAAAATCAAAAAGTTAATATTTTAACATAATAATAAATCATTATTTTTAAATTTCAAATTTATAATTTATTTTTGGCATTTTTTGAAATTTATTTTATCTATCTAAAATAAAATATGGTAAATTTGCTTCTTGATAAGAGCATGAGGGATATTTTTGCACTCTTTGAAGCTTCATGGTGTATATACATTTCAACATATACTTCAAGTGTATATTTATTCAGAAAAATAGAAGAATGATATATTTGTTCTTTCAGGCATACTATAGGAATATATTTGAACTTCTTTTCCATTAATGCATTGTTAGGTATTTGGATTTTGAAGTCATCATTAGATTACAAACTCAAATGCACGGGATCTTTTTACTTTTAGAGGACACTCTTTATTTGCGCACGTGGATAAATTCTAATGAGAAAGTACTTTGAAGTGTGAAATGAGAGCCTCAAATTTGGGCATGACAATGCGTGGAGTCCTTCCCGAAAGAAATTCGGTATACAGCAAAATTGCATATAATAATGTCATTAAATAGTGTTATAACTTATAAGTCAACTTACATAAGGATTATCATTAAATCGGAGAAAAATATAGTAAAACAAAATCGCTATACAACAAAAAGTGTCAAAAAATAATTTTAAACATAAACACCATAAATAGGCATTCAAATTGTTTTACACACACACAAATGTTCAGGTCCGGACGTCCGGACAAGAACCGCCGTCCGGACGGTGGTGTTTGGCCATCTTCCCGGTGGAATTTTTTGATGAAACTTTTATGTCATGTTCTTCATCAAATCTAGTTTATCCAAAAAATAATTCAGCTAAAAACTCAATCTGGAAGGTCATCAAATGATTTTTGGAAGTTAACTGCATTTTATATGTATTTTTTAGCGCAGTTAACTTCAAAAAATCATTTGACGACCTTCCAAATTGAGTTTTTAGCTGAATTTTTTTTGGATAAACTAGACTTGATGTAGAACATGTCATAAAAATTTCATCCAAAAATTCCACTGGGAAGGCAGCCAAAAGCCATCGGCCAGACGGCGATTCTGGTCCGAAATTCCGGACCAGAACACTACTCTCTCTCTCTCTCTATATATATATATATATATGTATATATATATATATTTATTGTTCTATATTTAGCGCTTCATATATCTACTTTATAGTTAAGTAGATAGATCAATATTGATATTGTAGCATACTAGCATACTAGCATATCATGATTGAATTTCCCATTTAAACTTCTTAAACTCTTATCCTTAAATTATTAAGTGAAGACATACACAAAGTTCAAAAATTGGACTAAGGCTATGTTTGGCACTCCGAGCTGGAGCTGGAGACTAATGTCTGAAATGATGGCCATTATCTGAATTAGAGACTAATGTCTGGAACTGAATTATAAATTCTGAATCTGAATTGTTAGCTGAATGAAGTATATCCGTTTGGCGAAAAGAGGTGAAGGGTGACTGGAAAATGTAAAATTACATTCAAGGGCATAATATATACTCCTATTATTCAAAAATATTTATTATAATGATCACTAATTTTTCACCTAAATAGATCGATGTTTCATTTGTCCGGCTTATTTGATCCTTTACTCTTGCATCCTAGTAAGAACGATATCGATCTAACCCTTCAACAAGGTTATGCATCCATAAATGTCACCCCATCAAGTTCCTAATTAAGAATGGAGGATGCACACACACTCTGTTCCCTTGGTTTAGTTTTCAATTATTGACTGAAAAAGCTATATTTTAGGATTTTCCTATAGTTGATGTGCATCCAACAAAAGACTTCAGAAGAGTAGCCGAGTATATATCACTCTTGGATAAAATCTGCACTAGATGATTAGGGTAGAAAATAAATCCAGAGAAAAAGAGATAATAGACAAAGAACCACATAGAAGAAGAAATTGAAGAAATCGAGTGAAGAATTCTGCAGGGAAGAACCGAGAGATATGAGGAGGCTGCGTGCAGGGATAATTTAGGATAATTCAATTGGCTGATTAGAGACGCTACGTTTGATAACGTTTCCATTCAGATCTTTATTTTCAGCTTAAGCTCCATGTAGGTTGTTATCCAAACACACATACTTTGATAATTATTGGCTGGAGTTGCAAAATTTAAGCCCTTTATTAGCTGAAATGGTGTGCCAAACATAGCCTAAGTATGTTTTATCCTAGGACTTATTTAGTCATATTACAAGAATAAGTTGATTAAAATTTTCCAAACTAAGATTGAATAAGTCATATTTTAAGAATTTTATCTTTGTTTTAGGAGAGAATGCCCTGAATAGGAGTAAAAAAGTTTTTAAATTCCAAAATAGGAGTATCATGTTTTTTATTCCTTAAATAAGAGTAAATTTCTGCCAAGTTTGACATTACTAAGCTTTAAAACATGACATTTTTTTCCAAACTTGGCAGATTACTCCTATTCAGGGAATAAAAAATATGATACTCCTATTTTGGAATTTCAAAACAATTTTGCTCCTATTTAGAACAATTTCTATTGTTTTAGTCCTATTTAGGGATCGAATATTCCCAATCTTATACTCATTTGTATTTTTGTATTTGATTGCATGTCCTTGCTAGTTTGCACCTTATGACTGAATGTCTCGAGTACGTAGAGCATACTACCTCCGTCCCTTAAAACTTTGCCAAAGTTGACCGGCACGGAGAATAATAAAGTAAAAACTGTGTGGTTGAGATTTGTGCAGAGAAGAGAAATAACAGAAACCACAAAATAATTGATTAAAAGGGAAAGTGGAAAAGCTTTTTGGGACGTCCCAAAAAGGAAAGATGACAAAGTTTTAAGGGACGGAGGGAGTATTATATTCTATGATTAAACTTTGAATTCGTATTTAAATTTCAAATTTTGTATATGCAGATGTTGGTGTGATGAGTGGTGCAGCTTTATACATAAAAGAGGACTTAAGAATCTCCGATGTTAAAGTGGAGATACTTGTAGGAATCATAAATTTATATTCGCTTGTCGGGTCGGGTTTAGCCGGCCGGACATCGGACTGGATAGGACGCCGGTACACAATGGTATTCGCCTCAGTTATCTTCTTTGTTGGCGCCATTTTAATGGGCTTCGCCACCAACTACGCTTTCCTTATGGTGGGTCGTTTCATTGCCGGCATCGGAGTCGGTTACGCGCTCATGATTGCGCCGGTTTACACCGCTGAGATTGCTCCGGCGTCCGTCCGTGGCTTCCTCACTTCCTTCCCAGAAGTTTTCATCAATTTTGGTGCGTACAACTATACGGTATCATTTAAAATAGGATAGCGTACTTATCATTCACTTGATTGACCTGATCCAAATCATTATATCATTTTAAATTTATATTTAAATAATTCAAACGTAACATCTTGATTGATCCATATGGACAAAAGTATGATACCTTTGATGTACCATAAAATCCTCCAAAACACATCGTGAATTATATATAGTTTCCTCTTTTAAACCATTACAAAATTCTTTATCATCATTTTCCAAAAAGGCTAATTTGAGTTTGCGCCTCATTTTATTGTCCACATTGGACTTTGCACTTCTTTTTTTAAAAAAAAAAATCCACCCCAACCCCATATGGAAAGACAAAAATGCCCCTCCATTCACAATTCTGTTGGTCTTCAACATATTTTTGATGAAGAGTCATTTTTATCTTTTCATACGAGGTTGGAGTGCAAAAACAAAGATTTTTAAAAACGGGGTGCAAAGTCCACTTTGGACAATAAACTGGGGTGCAAGCTCAAATTACCCGTTTCCAAAGTAATATGCGTACTATCAACCAATTCTTTTATTATTACCGTAAAAGCAAATATTTCAAATTGTCATTTTCAACATAAATAATAAAGCTTTACTTAAAAAAACTTAAATTGTAATTTCTTTTTAAAATGTTTATGTTTCAGCAAACCATACATTACTCGTATTATTTTTAAGAGCTAAGTAGGTGCTTACAACAAAAATAGTACCCCGACCTGATGTCTCATTTTACTTGTCTTACTTTCTTTTTTAGGTTACATTAAAATATACTATTTCACGTTTTGGAAAGAAATATATGAGACATAACATTTCACTTTTTAAACTTGAATATCAAGTTGTCAAAAAAAACTCAAATATCAACTACTCCGTATACTTTTTTTATTTTTTCAATCACTTTATTAATAATTTTACTTTTGTGTCAAATCAAAATAAGACACATTTTTTTTTACTCTAGGGTGGTCTGGGGAAGGGGGCCTGGGGGACCTGGAGTAATCAGGGCTGAAACTCAGCCCATTGAGTTTCAAACCATTATGTGCCTAGCGAATTTCGAACTCAAGACCTCTCACAGTTTCACTAGACGGTAACTTCAGAACCAGCTGAGCTAAAATGGTGGATTACATTGATTTGAAACTTACTTGTATTTGGATGGTACTTTTGTAAGACAAAACAAAAGACGTGATGAAAAGAGCTACAAGTCTACATGAGTATTTAAGTGAGAAAGCTCCCTTTTTTAAATTTGACGAAGACATGCAATTTTGTGGACAACTAAAGTGGCCGACAATATATCTAGCAAAATATAACACGGAGCAATAATAAATAAACAATTACTCCATCACCATTGATTAATGTAAGAAAAGTATGGTAAATGCACGCTACAAAAAAATACGGGATTGATAGGGATCCAAATTAATGCCAAAAACAGCTTGACATAAGCTATTTGACACGAAATTATCGATAATAAATCAATGTCAAATTGATATCAATCTCGTAATTTTTTTGTAGTGACATTTTAATTACTCGAACCAAAATAGATAAGCTTCGGATAAGTAGCCCTTTTTTGCAACAACTTTGGATAAGTAGCCCTTAGAACATGCCGTTCTAAGAGAACCTTCATTTGTTACTCCCTAATCCCTACCGGATAATTTAGTGTATCTTTACTTGGTCAGCATCTTAAACATCCCGTTCTAATGGAACCTCTCTTTCAAAGGGGGGTTTGATTATTGAATTAAGGATTATATTTTATTCACAATGTCAAATAATGCTTCCCTACTTCTTTTTTAGTTGCAAGTTGCAACATTGGTGAATGTTGAACTATTCAATATTATAATTTGACTACATTTTGTTTATAATTGTATTAAAAAAATTGAAAATTATTTTTTAAATTCTCTCATTTTAAATTTTCAAAATTTATTTGAATTCTATAAAAAAGTTACTAATAGGAATAATAGGAATGAAAGAATTAATGATCAAGCTTGTGTATTGATTAGTGTGAAAAGTAAATCATCGTAATTCAAGAACAGAGGCATATCTTTCAAAAATAGATATTATAATTGTTATTTTTATGAATAAAAAAGTATCTAATTTTTTTAATTTACGCATAACTACTCCTAGTCAGAGATGCCATCATGTAGTGTTCACAATTTAATGAGATATACTTCGTATTATTAAAGCAATTGTCCATAATTGAACAAGTGTAATACGTAGTACAAGTGTAATTTCCCTATTAAAGTTCTCAGTTTGGCTTCACACAGATTAAGAAAATAAATTTGATTTTACTGTGGAGTGCACTGTTTGGACACTTTTTGACACTGTTTTGTATTGTTTTGTTTCCTACAATGGAAGTGTAAACTTAAATAAGTGATATCCCAAAAAGGAAAGTGAAAATAAATGTTTTGTTTTGTTTCTTAAATAATGAGACAATGATGACTACATTGTCATAGCAGTCCTTTACTTCTACGCCCCAGTCCAAAAAAAATTGTTCTTATCAGACAAAAATTTGTCAACTTTGTTTAGGGTAATAAAAACGTAGTCAAAGTTATTTGTTTCCTCTTTATAAATTTGGACCATACCATTTTTATTTTAATGTTTTATGTACAAATAAACTTTGAGCAAGAAGGTTTGTCTAAATCACGTCTTTGTTAAACATTGATCGATTATATAATTGTACACAGTAATATTAATAATGTGAAAATGATATTAAAATGTTCTTGATTAAAAATAGTATCATTAAAGTATAAATTAATCAAGTTTCACATTAATATTTTAGTTAAAATAATGAATCCAATTTTATCATTTTTTAGTGCAAAAGTGAAAGATGCTAAATAAAAAGGGAGTATTATTATTTTTATCCAGAAATTTCCCAACTTTGGATGAATATATACGGAGTATTAATTAATATTAATAATCGGTAATAATTATAACAGGTGTTTTGTTGGGCTACGTTTCAAATTTTGCATTCAAGAATCTGGGGGCTCACTTGAGCTGGCGATTCATGCTCGGCGTCGGAGCAATTCCGTCAGTCTTGCTCGGCGTTAGTGTGTTGACCATGCCGGAGTCGCCACGATGGCTAGTGATGAAGGGCCGGCTAGGCGACGCCAGGCACGTCCTTCTCAAGACCTCCGACAGCCCGGAAGAAGCCCATCAAAGACTCGCCGAAATCAAAGAAGCCGCCGGTGTGCCGACAGATTGCAATGACGACGTCATCACGGTGACGGCCAATAAGTCCGGTGATCAGAAGGGCGTGTGGAGGGAGCTTTTCGTCTCCTCGACGCCGGCAGTCCGCCACATACTCCTCACCGGCGTCGGCATCCATTTCTTCCAACAAGCGAGCGGCATCGACGCCGTCGTCCTGTACGGACCCAGGATTTTCGAGAAGGCTGGTGTAACTTCTGACACCGACAAGCTGCTCTGCACCATCGCCATCGGTTTCACGAAGACCATCTTCATACTTGTGGCGACATTCACGCTGGACAGATTCGGCCGGCGCCCGTTACTCCTAACGAGCGTCGGCGGGATGGTCATCACCCAGTTGCTCCTCGGAACGGCGTTGACCGTGATTGACCATTCCGAGGAGAAGGTGACGTGGGCTCTGACCCTCGCCATCATGATGACCTTAGCTTACGTGGCGGCCTTTTCGATAGGAGCGGGCCCCATCACGTGGGTGTACAGCTCGGAGATTTTTCCGTTGAGGCTCCGGGCGACGGGTTGCAGTTTAAGCACCGGAATCAACCGGGCAACAAGCGGCGTCATTTCGATGACTTTCATATCCTTGTACAACTCTATCACTATAGGTGGTTCATTCTTCTTGTACGGTGGGATCGCCGCCGTGGGGTGGTTGTTCATCTTCACACTGATGCCGGAGACCCAAGGAAGAACGCTGGAGGAAATGGAGGCCTTGTTTGGGACATTCTTTAGTTGGAGGTCAAAACTGAGGGAGATCAATGCAAGCAAGGCTAAAGACAGCAATCTACAACTCCAAATGACAAGAGTTGAGGGTGGTGATGCTAATAAGAATTAAGTAGGTTTAGGTGATTAATTACAATAGGAGTAATTTTTATGAGTGATAATGTATTTGTAAAAGCTAATGTAATGCCATCTTTAATTAGTACTACATCCATGCAACGTGAATAAATTTCTTGTCTAAGCTCATATAAAATTATGTAGTGTTTGTAGATCGATGGGTATATACTTTTAACTTTTAAGTTTTCTTAAGAAGTTTTCACAAATGTTAAGATCTGGGATTCTATTCTAAGAGGTGAGAGTGAATATTGAAAAAGCTAATGCTGAAGTTTTCTTAAGCATCATAAATCATATGCATGAAGTTAATTTTTTAAGAAATTACCCTATATAGGGATGTAAAAGATAGGAAAAATAATGTGCTCTTTCTTTAGAAATTGCTAAATATGGAACTAAACATACACAAAATTCCAAAAATAGTATTAAATACTCCGTATATTTTATTCCCTAAATAAAACTTATTTTATCCTATTAAAATAATAATTTAACTCCTCGGTTTTCTTCCATTATTGGTAGCCCTCGTTGAAGCAAAATTTGAATGGTACACCATAGCCATACATTGCAAAGTTGGGGCGACATTTCTAAAATATTACTCCTTATGAAACTTGGAGTTCTATTAGCTAGAGTATACGGAGTACTACTTTTCTTTCCCATTTTATTAGTCTCATTTGATTTAGACATAATTTACAATGAGACAAGTTTAACAATATTTTTTCATAAAACAATATTATTACATTAATAAATAAAACGTAGTCAAAGTAGAACATGTAAATAATATAAAAGTCAAAGTGTTGCATTTATGTAAGAACGGAGGTAGTACTACTTTTCTTTCTCATTTTATGTGTCTCATTTGATTTAGGCATAATTTATAATAAACTGAAATATTATGAATCACATATTTCTTTTCAAAAGGGAAATGTGCATGACACTTATTTTGGGACAATCCAAAAAAGAAAGTAAGACAGGTAAAATGAGACGGTGGCATAATTTAAAATAAAGTGAAATATTATAAATCACATATTTCTTTTCAAAAGAGAAATGTGCATAACACATATTTTCTACTTTTGTCATGGTTGTTGATCTTCCTTTCTCATCATCACACATCATTGGATCTTCCTTTCTTATCACACATCGATACCTATCACTATTCACTACTAGACTCAGCAATTTAAATCTTGGCGCTATACTCATTTTCATATAAAAACAAAAAATACTTGTTATTCCCTCCGATCCGTATTAAAGTTCTCACTTTCCTTTTTGAGATGTCTCTTATTTAAGTTCACATTTCCATTGTAGGAAACAAAACAGGGCAAAACAGTACCAAACAGTGTCAAACAGTGCACTCCACAGTAAAGTCAAATTTATTTTCTTAATCCGTGTGAAGTCAAACTGGGAACTTTAATAGGGACCGGAGGGAGTATATCAGAAAGTTATAACCGTTGAAAACATACATTTTCAAAATCCTCCAATAGATAGTTTTTGTTGGGTGCAGCTTCTCTACATTTCTTTCTCTCCATTTTCGCTCTATTTCCTTTTTACTTTCTATTTATCTCTACCTTTTTCTATCTTATTCACCAACATACATCACCCTTCATTTTCTACTCTATCTCTCTCATAATAACGGAACTCTCCGGTTAATGGAGAGGATCCAAATTAGTTTTTATTTGTAAGAGTGTAGCAAATACAAAATTTTAATTCTAATACAATAAATGTCAAGCTCATAACAAAAATTCACGATTGTAAGCAATTCTTGTTCATCAAAAACAAATACGAGTATTAGTGTGTAAACCAATATGAGTGGCACGAAGGGTGTACCTAGGAGCAAAGCTTAGGGTGGATCCGTACGATGCAAGATTCTTTCGGATAAACTTTTACCCATAAATTTCTATAACAAAAACGAACAATTTTCATATTTGGGGTAGCGACCCAGCCCCTCCTCTACCGCCCCTGAGTGGCACATAAACCAATGTCTTGCATCAGTAGTCTATGTGAATAAGTCTCTATTTTTCTACTTGATTTTGTCATATAGACAAATGTGTGACCAAACTCCAATCCAACTCATATGCGAAAAGTTGTTACAAAAATTTGGTGCAGTTTTATTTTCCTAGAAAAGACCAATCCGCAAAAATTATATATGTACACTCTAACCAATTCAGGGTTGCTTGCATGCAAATACGATAGTATTGCGTAAGTAAGCTGAACATTTTCTTTTCTTTTTTTGATAATCCTGGAGTCTATGAACTACCATCCAAAGCCCCTAGACAGTTAAGTCCGGATCTGATCACAGTCAGCCTCGTCAGTACTGGCTTCAAAGGACGAATCCAGCAGGACTTACATCACCTTTTAGGCTGCTCCTCCTCCCACCACACGAACTCGCTACCTTCATTACCATCCTCTCCCTTCTCAGCCGCTGAGCAACTCCGTGAAGGTAGGAAGAATCATTGAGAGCAAGACCTCCCTCCTCTCCCCTAAATGTGCCTAGCGGGATTCGAACCCGAGATCTCCGCTAGGACACGGTAACCTTCCACCCAGTGAGCTGGAATGGTTGGTTTAAGCTGCACATTTTCTTAAGAATACTTATTGCTGCAGTCGTAGGGAACCGCGGTAAAAAGTCAAATTCGTATATGTATTTGTTGCGGTTGTTAAGGAAACGCAGCAAAAAGAGTATTTTTTTTTTGAAATTCGGCCACTTATTTGATGCGGGTTTGACCGCCGCAAATACCTCTTTTCTGATTTTGCTGCTCCCGCTATTGCTGCAATCGTGAACCGCAGCAAATGAGTCAAAACGACCGTAACAATGTCATTTTTTTTAGTAGTGGTGTGATTTATGAACTTGAATGGACAATGACTTGATCAAACCACACGATATGACTTAATTGTGAACATGATTTATTCATTTTACATGCAATAATAGATTAAATCTTGATGTATTGCTATTTCCATCAGGATTACCCAATCAATTTGTAAAACGTAACTGTTTATAAAATAGATGTATGGTATGTCAATAAGAGATTGTAGCCTAAAAATAACCTTAAAATGAATGTTTGCTTAATTGATATGGTTTATTAGCATACATGCATGCAAAATAGATAGTCTCTTGTACAAAGATTGATTTATAACCTAGATAGAAAACGTAAGAAATTAACAGTACCCAATGGGTGACGTAAAAATCCTTTCAATGTTATCAGAACATTTAAATAATCTGTTAGTCAATTAGGCATGTTATTAATGAATTAATCGAAGGTGACAACTCCGGTACTCACCTACAAATTGGGATACCGTACCTACCATTCACTTGATTGGTTCAAATCATTATATCATTTTTAATTTAGATTTAAATAATTCAACAGCAGCATTCTGATTGGTCCATGTGAACAAAAGTATGGTACCTTAAGGTACCATAGAATCTACCTTAATTGAAAAGAGAACTTATCCAATTACACAAAAATGGTACTCCCTTTGTCCCGAAAAGGTTGGCCAAATTTCCTTTTTTTGGATGTTCCAAAAAGATTTGTCATCTTGTAAGCAATATGTGACTAAAATTAATTCTCTCTTCATTGCACAAATTTTAACTACAAAATTTTTACTTTATTAATTCACGTGAAAATCAACGTTGGCCAACCTTTTCGGGATGGAGAGAGTATATTTCTTCAGGTTGAAGAGGTCTAAAAGATCCCACTTACACTTTTGACCTTAAACGTGGCATCTCCCATCTATAAAAGTAGGGCCACTGATATATAAGTCGTCCATGGATTTGTCTTTTGTTTGATTTCGAATGATTTATGTTAGGGTGGGTAGTGGTAGTGATTCTCATTCACTCATTTTGGTTTTGTTTGGAGTTTGGATTGAATGATTGGGGTGTGACCATTAACCGTGAACAATAATGATTGGCACCCTAAACGATAGATTACGAAAAATACACACAACCTAAGTCCTATGGCTACTGGACAGGTGTAACAGTTAGTGCATCCCACGTTTGACGGTTACGTAGCTAGACGTCTGGTGCACCCCGCTAAGGCTAACCGCAACGGTGCCGTCAATAAATCAAATTTCATATAATTTATGCGTATTCATTCAATCAATTTAGATTTTACTGTAATCCAGTCACGTCAATATATTCATCTATCAAAGTTTATTTAATTAAGGTCAGATTTTACTGCAACTCAGGGAGTATTATATAACAGTTTTTTTCAATCGTTTTTTTGAGATTTGATTAAGATTTAAAAAAGTCAAACATTCCGATGAAAAAATAAATAAATTTGGAATTTAGTTTTTTTTCTTTTTATTTTAGACCCATTTTGAAAAGATAAGTGAAAGATGTAAAAAGAATATTTTAATCATGAAAAGAATACGGAGTATGAGATATTACCCGAAATAGGACTAAAACAGTTTGAAAATTCCAAAATAGGATTGCCTTGTTTTTATTCCCAAAATAGGACTAATTACTGCCATGTTTAGAAAATACTGCCATGTTTGAAATTTGGTACTGCCAAAACATGGCAGTAATTAGTCCTATTTTGGGAATAAAAAACATGAGAGTCCTATTTTGGAATTTTGAAACTGTTTTAGTCCTATTTCGGTAACTTTCCCAAAGAATATTTGAGTCTAAAAATCTTCAACAGTTAAAAGTTTATATTTTTTTCTAATTTTATATACGTGATATTGGTGTCATATGAAACAAAAAAATAAAAAATTTTGATATATATTTTTTAAAAATTTAAGTACAAATAAAAATGTTATAAATCATTTAATAAAAAGGAGATTTTCTTTTTTCTTGGAGTCCACACCCTCTTCACATCTCCTCACATTCCGTCCTTATTTCGTCCGGGAAGGCAAGACAAGGGAGTGAAAGTAGGGTGCCAAATTCCACCACTTTGGCTTCCATAAACCCACTTTAGCCTCTTCAAATACATAGGGTTGGAGTATTTTTTGGGGTGAAAACATCTAATTTAGCTTTTCACCCCTAGGGTTGCAGGCAGCCTATGTAGCTACACTTATACATCCATTTACATGTCAAATATGTAGTATATTTTGTCTGTGCATAGACAATTTATTATTATTTTAGTAAGGAAAATTGTTTATGACCATGAAATGTCTGTGCATAGACAATCACTTTTTCAGAGTCACATACTGTTCCCTTTATTGAAATGAAAACTAATTTTCTGTGCATAGACAAAATACACTTGAGGTGTAAACGGGCGTGTAAGCCGGCATGTACAAGTA